ACAAACTTCACAGATGATTATACTTAATGCTGGAGGTCTTTCTGTAAATTTTAAACAAAGTGTACTATTAAATGCCATCTATAAAATGCTTGATGACTTACCTCCTAGGCTGATGTGTGATTTTGCCTGAGCTTTTAAAATCCTGGGCAAAAAAGTCTTGCTACAGGAAACTGATTGGTAACTGAGTAAATTGCACTATAATCTAAGTATTGAACACGTCTACAGAGCAAGTATTATTTTGCAATGTGTTCCTCTGCCTGCAGCATAAAATAGAAGTACTCTCTCTACATAATGCATAATGATCCCCAGGAATATGTGTAAAGAGTATCGATGTTGGGTAAAACCCCAGTGGTTATCCTAAAATTTCCCCACGGCTGAGGAGCACAGATATCTTTGTGGTTCAGGACAACTATCTTTCCCTCCTGATATGAAGTTAACTAAAGTAATAACATAGAACAAATTTTCTGGTCTGCAAATTGTAGTGTTTCTGCATCTGAAATCATTCTTCTCTATCAATCAGCAAACACTGTGAAATTTTCTGGAATAAAAGGGGCTTATATAGATATACAACATCTACAAATATGATACTTAATTTATGTCTCAACTGCGAATTTCTGCAGCTAATTCTACCAAAATTCACAGTGTCCACTACAAATGGAATTCACTTTGCATTAGGAGATGTATGTTTCATCGATCCAGAAGACTATGTTTGTAGGATTTTTATATGTTTGCAGGGTAATAATACAACTTTCATACAACATCAAACTCAATAAAAAACAACAAAAATTAAAAAAACCTAAGTGAAAGCTGCCATACATGTTTTGTTGATTGGACATTTGGAACGTATGAACATGGGCATACTTAAATGCAAAGGCTCATGTGTACACCTCATACAGTTCATACCATTGTAAATCCAACTTAGATACAGGTAGTATATCAGGTATGCCTAACTGTGGAGTCTGTGTAATCTTTCTATCCTGGGAAGAATCCAGAAGACTTGCTTTCTTTTTGCTGTGGAATCTTTAATTTTAACCTCTAATGATTCTCCTGCTTCCATCAAACCTTTTCAGAGATGTACCTTTTGTAGCACTAGCCTTGCAGAGAGATAACAAGGACAGACCTACACGTTTTTAATGCTGGATCATCTGTTTATGCATAATACTGGTCTGAATGCCAAATTTAGCTGGTCATTAAGGGGGAAATAGCCAGCAGAATCACTCAGCTTGCCTTCATAACTTTCAGATTTAGACTGCAAATGTCTTGGAAAGGATCTGCATTTTAGCCTGTTTTGCATGTGTCAGACAGTCACAGAAAACCACTGCGGTGGGAAATCACTCTCAGTTGATGTGATATTGAGAATCTAGAGGCATTCTGCATTCGGTAGCCATCCACTGATTTTGTTTTTGAGTAGTGGACACTGCTTATAAAAACAATCCCACTTTCAATGCCTGCAGTGACCTGCTGGATAGCTATCGTTTTTTTCACCATTGAAGTGTTATGATCCATTGGAGTCCAAGATTGGCATGGTCTGGATTCCAGGCTTCATTGCTTCCCTTATGATATTTGCTCTGACATTGTTTAGGTTAGTACAAACGTAAAGAACTCTGAATTCACTCAGCATGTACATATGTGCCACATTGTTTAAGAAATTCATGCAACTGCTTCCTGTCTCGTGTTGTCAGAGATGCCTGTATGGTGCTCTGCTGCTCTCCTACCTTTGGGACACTGCTCTCCAGGTGCTTCCCTGGTTACACCCTCCTCTGTCTGATACCTGTCCCTAATGGGAGCTCACTTCCAGAGTCATTTTAGTTTTCCTTTTTTTTTTTTTTTAAGGACTGGGTAAGGGCTAGTCAGGTGATTTCTTATGTTGCTTGCAGGTTGAGCATCTGGTGAAGAAAGAAGGTCTATCTACATGTAGGTTTTATATTTCAAAATTTCAGTTTTCGATGCAGGGTAAAACTGGAGTCTCTGGGGCATCGTGTTCAAACCCCTGATTTTGATTCTGAGTCAATACTTTACACTGATGTCAACTATTATTTAGATTTGAGTACATCTAAACATGGAGTGAACATGGCATCTCTTTTACGATTCAATATTATGCAAACAGCTCAGAATAATTTTTTGTTGTAAAACTTGAAACCTAGACCTAAGGTGACGTTGAAACTGAACCCTAACCTAAACTACATCCAGATATCTGGGCCAACCTATTTTTATATATTATCAAATAAAATATCTTAGCATGCTGAAATTGTATGTGGTATTTTTTCTTTAGAAGTAAATTGATTAATATTGGAAATATGAAATAGGACCTATCAGCTATTATAGATCCCTTTCATTTCGTTAGCAAAGGTTTTCATTTTTAGAGCCGGATATATCTCCCATGTATGAGATATCCATGGGAACAATGACTGTTTATGGGACACAGGTTTGTTGCAAAAGGACATTGTGTTTATATTAATAAAAACTATTTTTATTTTTATTTTCATGTTCTAGTCAAGGACGTTTGGTAGCTTAATGTAAAATAAACCCTTTGTAATTAGGTTACATGTTTGGTTGTGGCTCTGTCTGAAAATAACAGGAGCTGTTTTCATCAAATGTATGATTACTAGTTTATATGTTTTCTTACTCAGTTTCTGTCTGGAAAAATGTTTACAACATAAAAGCATCCTCAAACTTAGGGCATTTTTGGCTTTTTAAGTGGGAGACGACGGCAGACGCTCTAGTGGGATAATGTAGGAAGTTTCTATTGCTGGATGTACTGATGGGCTGAGGACTTAAATCCTCTGAGCAATCAATCCACAGGCTTTTATGAATGCTTAGGGAAAAAAAGGAAATATATTGCTGGAAAAGAGAAATAAACCTTGTTGCAGAATACGTGACGGCCCAATTCAAAAAAGATGTATGTATGGTGAAGCCTCATCTGTCATTGCAACTGTCTGAGCAGGACAAGTGAAAGCAAAACAAAACCAGGAAATAATACTTTTCTTATAACAAATGAATTTTGAGGGAAAACCTCAATGAGGAAGGAAAGCATATTCAAATTCTGAATGCTATTCTGCTGAGAACAGGACTTTTGCTCAATAGCTTCATAATTAATTTTAGTGTTAATTCAGCAGGTCCAGTATGAGATAAATCCTTCCTTGGGAGAAGCATTGTCTATTACGTGTGCTGATTTGTGAGAGAGAATCGGCTATATTTTAATGATAGCTGAACTAGACTGTAGCTATAGACTAGGACTCACAATGTATGAGAAATGCTCGTTTGTGCTTAATATACTAGATAAATTGTTTCTGGCTTCTTAGGGTGTAACTATACTTGCTGTCACACTCCCAAGTATACTCAAGAACCGTGTGATTTGCTGAGTAGGTGCTAGTCATGTAAGGGAAAACCCGACGGGATGCATTTTATATACCTGTTTTTTTCCTCAGTGTCATGTATTAACCTTTTTTTGTCCTTTTTTTCTCCCCTTCATCAAAGGAAAGGCTCCTCAAGGCTGAAGGCAAATTATAGGAGTGGGGAAAATGACCACCAATAATCGGAGCAATATGAAATTTAACACTGTGATTTTGTTTTAGTGAGAGGAAAACACCAGTTGCTGACTGTCATAAAATTCTAAGCTGAACCTTAACTTCATGGGCAGCAGCTTTATAATCTATTTAATATTTCTTCTTTCTTCAGTTAAGCTGTTTCTTTCTCCAGTTAATAATAGGCTGTGGGATTAAATCTTAGCTTTTGATATTTACTGGGAAATGTAGTATAGCGATTTATGAGTCATAATGTACTTTGAATAAATTATCATTGCAAATTACAGTTTATGAAAGTTGTGACTATAACCATAATTGCACCATTGGCTCTGCACAACTTGAAAACTCACTTGCTGAATAAATTTGTTTTCATTCAGATTGCATTCCCGACATTTTTAGAAAAGAGTGAATGAAGCCTCACTGACAAAATTTCCTACAGAGTTTATTAAAAAGGTCACCTTTGTTTGCTAAACTTACCTAAAATCTAAACATTTCTTGAATTAATGAGATGCTATTTTAGTCTGTTATGAGAGTTTCCTATTCACATTTACTAACCCACAGACGCATAAGGAGACTCACAAGAGCTTCCACATTACGCCGTGCCTTTAGCTATCTATATATCCTAAACTTGTTAAAGTTAAAATTGATTCTGCAAGCTGTTAGGAAAAAAACAGCTGATAGCCAAAATTAGGTATATTACTGTCAATTGAGGGGGAAGGAGGGGGAGGAGAGGTTTAAAGCTCTGTCTGGCAAGAGAAGGGTTAAGGACTTTTTTGCTATACCCGTTTCAAATTACAATGAGAAGCCTCTTCTTTCCCAGCAGGGTTGTGCTTACATTAGTCTTTAGATCTCTCTTGAAGAGAGCTGTTATATTTGTGCCTGCTAGAGTTGGAAATAACAGCTCAGAAGCTGAAAAGGGTTGAATGGATTTACAGAAGGGTTTTTTTTGCGAGTAAATTCATGGCAACACATTAATTTGATTAGTACATGCTTTAGAATTACTTTACACTCAAGCGATTCAAAAGATGTTAAAGTTGTCACCAGGCTGCTGGACAAATATGTGTTACACCACCAAGGTACAGATCAAGACAAATCTGTGACTCAGGATTTTATCTTGGGAAGAGCGCAAGGTGTACGAAGAACTCAGAATAACGAGGGACGATAACTCTGGGAACTACAATGTGTCAGAAGAACAGCTCTTGCTAATACAGCTCCCCACCAAAGACCTGGTTATCTAAGGTTTATATAGGAATGCCTAGGTCAGCTGACAAAATACTGGTCTTCTGCTCCATAAATGCAGAAAAAACGATAACAACAGTGGAAAATTGGAAGTCTGAATTTCAGCTTTCTTAGAAATAACTGCAACCTGACACATTCCATAATATTTAAACAGGGTGGGGGGAGAGAAATCACCAAAGATGTTACGTTTAGAGATGACATTGACATGAAGAATAGGTAAATTTTGTTTTTCAGCCACTGGGAAAGCAGACTTCATAGGAACTCAGAACAAGTAGGAGAAAAGAATTTTTTTTTAATTTTTTTTTTCCTTGTTGTTTTTCTTTTCAAAGATGAACCTAACTGTGCTCAAAGCTTTCGTGGGCTTGCTCTGGAATTGCTGGGTTCTGGTGGGTCACGCACAGGGAGGTTTAGGAGACAATCATGTCCATTCGAGTTTTATTTACAGGAGGCTGCGGAACCATGAGAGAAGGGAGATTCAGAGAGAGATTCTCTCTATCCTGGGTTTACCTCACAGACCCAGACCATTTTCACCAGGAAAGCAGGCTTCTTCTGCACCCCTCTTCATGCTGGACCTGTATAATGCCATGACAAATGAAGAGGACACTGAGGAGCTGGAGTATTCACTAAAGGGATCAATGGCAGGGGACAGCAGAGGGATACGGAAAGGATACCCTGCCTCTCCAAATGGATATTCGCGGAGAATACAATTATCTCGCATGACCCCTCTGGCCACACAGAATCCTCCCTTAGCCAGCCTGCACGACACCAACTTTCTGAATGATGCTGACATGGTCATGAGCTTTGTCAATTTAGGTACGTGGAAAAATTTTTCGTTTCTGCTCTCTTTGACAAACTGTTAGCCTGATCTGGAGAGGGGCAAACCTCTCGGCTGGACCGTAACCTGCTCTAAAATGGGAGGACTGGGTCAGGGTGGCTGTGCCACTGGTAAAAGAAAAGTCGTACTGATGGTAAAGTAGCTACGTTGTAGGTGGCCATGGAAAAAAGATTTTTCTCACTGTTTATATAAAGTCAGTTTCTATAACTCCCCTCTGCTGGCTTCTGTTTTCTTTCTTTCATTGATGTAATGAAAATTCTAGCCTTAGGCCAACTAACTCCTTTTTTTTTTTTAAATCTCAAAAAATCAAACACTTATGCCTATTGCTCGGTTATTTCCCTCACTGTTTTGCTTAAAGCTCAGACATGAACAAACATCAGTTGTTAATATTTTAAAGCCTAGAATGTTATGAAAAGGGAAAAGTTAAGCCATTTCCGAAAAGGGAAAAAAAAAAAAAGATTTCTTAGGTTATTTAGGTTTTTTTTTCTGTTGGTAAGAGTCAGAGTTTTATTATCTTTTCAGCTGGATGGCTGGTTTTTAAATAATCTGTTGCTGTTTCTTTGTTATTTCTATTTAATAACCACAGACTGCGTTTTATTATACTACCATGGTGCTCAGAGTCTGCAATGGTTCTTATTTTCTGTGTCATAAATAAATTAAATAACAAGTAGAGTATTAAACACCAGAAACATGCAAGCAAAGAATGCTTTTGAAAATGATATCAATTCAGACACAAAAACTGATAAAACTAAATTATATTGGCTTCAGAGTATAATAAACATGCTTACCAGTTACGTTGTTGCTAAAAAAGCAGTTACAGGTTTCTTTAATAGAAGGCAACTTAAATCTCATTAAGAAAGCTGCAAATAAGTCATGAAATGTATTTACTATTTTTATGAGTATTTTAAATGCTGCAGGACTCATAAAGTTAGCTGAAAAAAACCCTTTTCCTTTGATCTGAATAGCCAGAGATTTAATTGAAAACCTGAAATTTCTCAATAAGCTGGTACAAAATCTGATGAACTCTTGCTTTCCAGGATAATACTTTCTGTAGAAACTTTTTAAACAATGGCACATTTTCTGAAATACCTTCAGATTATCACACCCATTCTGTACCTTTTATGTCTACCAGGTCTTTAATCCTTGCTGCAGTATTAAAAATGTTTCCAAACACTAAAATCCCCAACAACTCGAATTTCTAGGAAAATGACACCCTAGAGCTTAGTTGGCATACTAATAAAATTACTTTTCATTAGTTGTGTGGCAGATAAGGTGTTCAATTCTGAGATATGTTTCCTTAAGAGTAACGTACGTCCACAATTCTAAATACATTTGCTTGTTGCTCTTGCTCTTGAAATAGCAGACTAGAAAAAAAATAAATGTCTGTTTTTTGAAAATGTGTCCCTCATCCTTAAAAAGAGTTACACATTATCCATGTATTACTTTCAAGTGATCATTGTATGCCTCGATTTATCCAGAGTATCTGGAGTGAGCCGAATTTAAAATGGCAATGTTGTAAAGGAAATGGGAAATGTTCTGATCTCCTAAGCATTAGTCAAGGCCCTGAACCTGCAAAAATTTTCCTCAAGTGTTCTGAGAAATACCCTCAGTAAATAAGTCTCAAACCATTTCATCAGTGGCCCGGAGAACTGTCTACACGGGACTGAGCCTTTTATTTCATGAAACATCTCTGATTTCATGAGGACTTCTTGCAGTGCATGAGTAGAAGTCTTTGAAGGCTCAGGGTCAGATATGTCCTAGCCTGATCCTGCTGCGCTTCCCCAGACAAAAACTTTCTCTGGAAGAACACAAGTTTCCACTGAATGTTTTACCTTGACTGGGAAGTTTCTAATATTTGTCTCATTTTATTGGGAAGCCAGTGTTGCTTTAAGAAAGTAATTTTGTGAAGCTAAAGCGTATCTTACATTTGTAAACTGTGAAAACTGGGGGTGAGATGCTTTATTTTTCTAGTGATTATGATTAATAGACACTATTAACTTACAAAAAAATACTGTGTAAATACCAGGTTTTGTTTGGCCTCTGTAAAATTAAAATGTGTCTCAGCCCTAAGTGAGTCTAAATCCTAATTCACTTTTAATGCCCTCCCGTGCATGTTGGATATTGTGGTTTATCACACATTCCACCATGTAACATGCATAAGAAATATTGATGACCAGTACAGATTAGCTTCAACATTTTTATTAAACAATCCTATGTTTCAGTATAATTAACATAAAAATGAAATAAATCATTGAAACAGGTAACCATTTTATGTGATTTATGCAGCATAAGATCGTGACAGATGAGGGCAGGCTCTTTTAATGTACAATGGGGAAAAATATGCAGTGATAAGTGAATGCTAACACTGTACCTTAAAATCAATAAATGCTGATGCAGCACAGTAATAACTCAACCAGTTTTAGATTTGAAGCCTCAGTCAACTTGCATAAAATTAATCTGCTCTGGAAATAGTATTCACCATGTTCATACTTGCACACCATTAATTACATGAGGTGTAATTATAAAGCTTTATTAATCATCGTGATATTTTAAATTGAAACTTTTGTATATAGTTGTAGTCAGTTATAATAATGTAAGACATATATATTAAAACAAGGAATATGTAGCTGAAATGTTGGATACAAATTATTAAGTATAAGATTGAAAAGGCTGAATAAGATTAAAAAGTAAAGTAAAAAATAGACAAGGACAAATAATTTTATATTAAAGAATAAGTATTGAAACTCATATGCTAATTTTGATAAAAATCAACTTGTCAGAGTTGCAAATACCTCACTTTCAAAAACAAATTTAAAAAATAATCATCAAGGGAACTGCAACTATAATTCTGTCAAGCAACCAGAGAGAAAAACAAGACAGCATTTGCCTCTCCTGAAGTTAAAATTGTAAACACCTGCTCTTTATCCTGGAATTTATACCAGAATTTCCACCTCTTTCTTTCTTGAAAGATATGACAAGGCAGAGACCATATCTTGTCCCGTATTTTGTATAAGACTGTGTGTGTTGGCAGCTCTCCATAAATATTGATGAGTGTAACAGAAGAGTTAACTGGGGTTGCTCCAGCAGTCAAAGAATAAATCCTCCACTAAATACACTGGGGTTTTCAAAGATCTGATTATATCACCTACAAGTTCAGGACTTTGTTTTCCTCCCTGGGTGTTTTTTATCCTGTTGTTAGATTTTATTATATTGTTGCAAAGCCCTGACTGTTCAGAGTTCTGGCATCTTCTTTTTGGCCGATCTCCCAAAATGACATATATAGGATACCTTGTTCCTTAGAGAACAGGCAAATAATACTCATGTAGTCCTACTCACTTTTCTGCTCACTCAAAATTTAGTTAGGGAAGGACTTTGTTAAGATAAATGTTAGTGTTCCCACTCTTCACCTCTCACCAAAACAAGGGGACTGAATAAAAAAATATGTACATGACTGAGGCTTGGAGAAACAGCAGCACTTTTACAAACAACATTTAAACATTTCAAGGGCTGAATTTTCCATCAGCATCAAAGTGATCATTAAATCCACTGTACTTAAGTGTTCCTCCTCATGCAATTCAAATGGTCTCTATTTTCATTTGTTTACAACACTTCTGTAAATTTTTCTCTAAACAGACAGCTGCATTTGCTAAGCAACTCTGTTTTCTTTCTCCATATTTTCCTGTGAATTGATAGGAGCCCTCTGTCAAATAGGGGATAAATATATACAAGTTTTGTGGGTTTCTGTTGTGTTTTCTTTCTTAGCATATAAAATTAATTACAAAAACTCAAATGAGAAGATCACTATAAAATTTGTGACCCCGACCTATGCATGCCAGTTTAAAGAAGGATACAATATTATGGAGATTTTTAAAATAACCAATGCACCCCAGAAAGACACCTTTTCTTCTTCACACACAAAGTGATTCTGCAATTTTAATTATAATAATCCTCAAACCACACTTGCTGTGATCAGGTCTTAAATCAGATGCTGAAATCAAAGGAAATTTTGCCTGTTTGAGGCAGAGAGGACTGTTCATCTTTCTCCAGCTTCTCTACCCCAAGTTTGTACGCTGTCTTGAAGATTATGTTCTTCTTTAAAACCTGAATCACTAAGCAAATACATAAATTCACAAGATTTACAGCCCATTGTGTTCATCGGAGAATGCTAACATGGCAGAGAACAACTTTTATACAAGTACTTTGCGAAACCTACAGTATGTCAATCCACACCAAATACCTGTAAAAATATATTTTCGTTGCACGCAAAAAAGAAAGGATTCCTAACTGCAATCAGACCTTGAGTGTATATAGTAGCTAGTTTCTTAAATTAAACTAATTCAGTTTCTGCAACCTTCTACTCACAGCTAACATATCATCAGCGAGGGCTATGGAGTGCTAAGCTATAAAATGCCAGGAGCTGTGGAAGGGGAGCTGGGTTTGAAGGATACACGCAAAAAAAAGCCTCAGGATCATTAACTTCTCTCCTCAAAGCTTAGGAATGAGCACGCTTTCTTTCTCTCTTTCTTTTCCACTGGATTTCAGATGTTGCTGCCTTAATTTTAACCTTACATGAATTTCCTTGGCTGAGGTACAGTTTTAGTCCCTAAAATGCAGGCTTCTAATGAAAATATTGACACAGGCTTAACTGAAGTGACGGAAATAGTGCTATTATCTTGCCTTGGACAGAGGGATGCTATTACAGAGATAAAACTTGTTAAATAACAAATAGACCTCACGTCTTTAATTGAGGAGTTGGATCAATACTGAGAAAAAATGAGAAAACATTTGTGAAGGTTTTTTGAATGGAAACCCAAAGTCAATAACATGGCATTTTTCACTCTTTTACATAAACTATAAAGCAAATTAGATCAAGTGGGTTTCACTTAATCTTCACCCAAAGTACATCTCACTTGGCATCTTGAAATTCTAAGATTTTTTTCCCTTAACAAAATTTTCATCACCCAGTCAGTGAGCTGAA